CTCGAATTTCTGGCTGAAATTCCTACGTTTTTTACTCACTAATCCAAGCAGTAACATACAAGAAATGGGTATTATATTTGTGCTAAGTATGATAAGAAACATGGAAGATTTTGCTGCAAAACTCATCGAAACAGACATAATAGAACTACTGAGGTCACTGAACAAGAACGATACCGTCCAAAACAAGAATATCAAGGAATTGACATCCATTGCTTTAGAGGCTGTTGCGGAACGATCTAGTAGAGAAGGACTCATTGTCATGATAAGATGGGAACGTGATGCAGCATGTCGATTAGGACAATTAGACCTTTTAAATCGTTTGGAAAAAAAATTATGGGTATATGAACATACTAAAAATGTACCCTTAAACGTATACTCAGAATTCGGAAAGATACTAACAAGACGAAGACATTTTTGTTGAAAAAAGACAAAATAGTTGAGATCTAAATGTCGTTTATATTCCTTACATTTTAAATAAAGTTCTTTAAATAATAAAAAAATTTGCATTAAAATTTTTACAATTTTGTCATAGTCGGACAATCATATAATTATATTCATGTTTATATATCTTGAAATATACGTTTACTGTGCGGGACATATATACATATAGTTTATTTGTATTACATAAATTTACTAAAGTATAATATATTGTATGAAATAATACGTACACGAAGATATACATATATATCACACGCCGAGCTCGCGTTTTTGAAAGTCGCATGCCATGTAGCATCGGCCATCGTACCTCATTTGCTACGCCGGTCAAGAGATCTAAATGTCGTTTATGTTATTTATATTTTTAATAAAGTGCTTTAAATAATAAAGTAAATGTTGCATTTAAATTTCTTTTGCAATTTTGTCGTTTGAAACGTAGTCGTGCGATTATATAATTATATTTGTATTTATATATCTTTAAATATATGTTTACTGTACAAGACGTATTTAGATATAGATACAGTTTATTTGTTACATAAATTTGACAAAGTATAATATTAATATTATTGTATGAAATAACACATACACGGAGACGACGGAGACGTTGTACATACATATATCACTGGGCCGAGCCCGCACTTTTGGAAGTCACGTGACATGCAGCGTCGTACCTCATTTGTTAAGTTAAGCCGCGACTCGCTCCCTCGGTATCCCTCAATCGCCGCCGCCGCCGGTTTGTTTTGGTTTTGGTTTGTTTAGTTGCTCAACTCGTTGAAAGTTGAAACTGTTAAAAGGTCGATCAAAAAAAATTGAAAAGTAGAGAAAGTTAAGGTTCGAGCAGCACGAACGGACGTTACGAAGAGGAAGCTATCCGACAGGTAAAGAATTTATGTTCTGTATACGAGATACGTTAGTAATAATCGGGAAAAGAGAGCACACGAGGTAACTCAAGAAATGAACAAAGAACTCGAGATGTATTTAAAACTGAAACAAATACTCGATTGACGGTACCTTAACTTTTTGCAGAACAATTCTGCTATTTTCGTCGAATACCTGGGTCTTTTATGCCCAGTTAAAATCTCTGTAAAATTCGAAATTGTAATGTCGAGTGGGTCTTAAAAGTCCCACGTTTTCTGCGACGGATTAAGTACTTTTATGTAAAAAAAAAATGTTGATGCAATGAGATTCATTCTCACGCAAATAAATTCATCGCGCCTCAGATGAATCACTCGCCTTTCCCAGACTCTCTTTCGTTGAGAAGTTGAATTCCTGACGCAAAAAGGGAGGGGTGTAAATTGCCCCTGGCTCTTGCAACGAAGCGTATATATAATTGCATCTCTAGCGTTAAGATGAAATCAAATATCTGCATGTAGCGTCATAAGGATAGCGTCGTCTGGATAGTTCCACATTGTCTAATATGCACAAGCGGCTTCTGGAAATTCTGAGAACAAACGCTGAATTATGACTTCAATGATTAACGTCTGTTTTCCGATGTTCAACGAAAGTCAACTTTATAATATAAAAATCATTGCAACAATTTATTACACTAATTTACATTCATGTCTCACACTAGAAGTTGCATTGCTATTATTGAATTGTGCGTTTATTCTTTATTTATTATACATGTATTAGGTTTGTTCGTTTTAGCTGAACTTCTTGCACAGTTCATCTTCTCTTTTTTTTTTCCAATGTGAAAAGAAAAAGAGGAAAGATAAACAAGCCTATTGTCTCATACATGCATATAATTATTTAGTAATAATTATGTCTTTTGTATTTAAGATAATACATGTATCAAGAGATATAGTATTAAGTGTCAGACTCTTTCTGTGTTAAAACATATAATGTAACATCATATAATTTGTGTTGTAGAGTTTATTTTACCATGACAGAGTCAAATATGAGTGCACAGGAGTGGTACCGCAAGGGTTGCGAAGAGTATCAAAAAGACAATTGGTCTGTAGCATTAAGTCACTACACAAACGCACTGAAACTAGAAGAGGAAACTAAATGTAAATGCAAAGGAATGTACTACACAAATCGAGCTCTTACTTATTTTAAGCTAAGCGATTACGAGAAAGTGATTGAAGACTGCAACAGTGTATTAAAGATATGTTGTATGGGAGCGTTGTATACAAGAAGTAAAGCACTAGAAGCGTTAGAAAGATTCGAGGAGGCATGTTGGGATGTAGAGACGATTATTTCATCTGATCCCAACAACAAAGTTTTTCAACGCTTAGGGAGACGCTTGCTTAAAATTGTACAAGAACATAAGGAAAACTCACATACTAGTCCTAAGGTAAATATATGTAACTATTACGAAAGTTCGTCAACTATCAAGACATGATAATTTAATATAGATAAAATAATAATTGTAACACATTTTTCGTATTGGATGTATTAGTAAATTTAATCTAGATAAAATAATAATTGTAACATTTTTCGTATTAGATGTATTAGTAAGAGTTTTTGTTTCACTCAATATCACATATAATTTGACAAATGGATTTGAGTTTTTGACTCTTTTATTATATAATTATTAATTTTTGTTAATTAATAATCTGCACACTGTACGGGTAAAAATTACATCATACAAATATAATGTCACAGTTATTTAAATTTTTATTGCAGATCGTTATATTTAAGTGTACGCTTAATTTTGCTTTGTATTAGGTATCAGAAATGCTGGATCTAGCATTTGACGTGAACGCCAGTGAAAAGGAACGTGAAATCGCTATGAATAATTTACTTGTGCTCGCACGTGACGAAACTGGTGCCGAGGAGATCGTCAAAAAGGAAGGTGTATCCAAAATCGTTCAACTTGTGAAAGTGGAAAAGAACGAGGGAGTGATCTGCAGCGCGATTCGTATTGTAGGCGAGTTATGCGAAAACAATTTCAGTCGAACTAAGTTCGTTATGAAACACGTCGGTCTGTCTTGGTGTTTGGAACTAATGAACAGCACATCTATAGAGAGAGTTAACGCGTCTCAATATTGTTTACAGGTAATTATCGAGT